GTATGTATATGTGTATGTGTAGACTTGTCACCCAATTGCCTGCTCAAGCTCATGCTCACTGGCATATTAACAAAGTGTATTGAACTATGAGAAATTTAATTGTTAACAAATAAAAGTGTCGTTGACAACCCGCAAGAACATGAAAGCAACAGGCTGAAAGGCAAAAGAAGCAAACAAAACAACAACTACAAGAGAGCTCTACTACCAAGCAGCAGCTATGTGCCACTAGTTATTTATAGTTTACATGCACAAACCCACATTCTATACATATAGTATGTACTTCTAAGTAAAATCAAAAGCAACAACAAAGCCCAAAAAACAATATTTGACATGAAAAATCCACTTGACGCGCACAAAGAGCAATTTCTGTACGATTTATCATTATCTTCCAAAAGTCTCAAACGCTCTGGTGTTGTTATTGTTTTGTTATTGTTGTGCATGTTTACATATGTACRTATGTAGCATAAAAAAGCGCTGAATGAATGCTCTTGACTCATGAAAACTTGAAGTGTTATAACAGCGACAATAAATCTTTGCATATACATATATACATACACCAGTATATACATATTTTTCACTATATACATATATTTCACTTATTTTCCTATAATGTGGCATGTTGAAGGCATAATTCTTTAAATTCGCACTTATGTTGGGCCTTTAAGCTTTTCTGATATATGTCTATTGAGTAGGTGTATACAAACACATACACACATTTACTTGCTTGCTTGGAATGTTGCGAATATTAATAAAAATAATGCGTTGGATATTAAAAAATCGGCACACAAGATGTTTGCCAATAATTTATTGTTTTGTCAAAAAACTAGTAGTCACATGCGTAAGCTACTACAAGTGAATGTGTGTGTGTGTGCGCACATGCTCTGGTATTCAAATTAATTTACGTTATTAGTTTAGACCTCTGTTGTTCCCATTTCACAGAAATTGAAAAAAAAATATGATTCGGCAGAAATTTTTTTTTCGGTATCACTGAAGCTATAATACTCTACAAAGATATGTTTATTCTAGCCTTAAAGGGTATAGAARAGATCTCTTATTCTCTATGAATCTCGATATTGAACGGTCAGTTCGTATAGCAGCTAAGTGCTATAGCGATCCGATCTAGAAAATTTCTTCCATAAATTATCGGTGTCTTCAAACTGTATTATTTGCCAAATTTCATGTAGATATCTTGTTAATTAAAAAAGTTTTCCGTACAAGAAATTGATTTGGATTGGTCGGTTCGTATGACAGCTATAYGCTATAGCAGTCTGATATCGACGTTTCCGACAAATAAGCAGCTTCTTGGGGAGAAAATGAAGTATGCAAAGTTTCAGATCATTATCTCAAAAACTGAGGGACTACTTCGGATGGACAAACCGATGAGTTTTGCTAATCGACTTAACTCGTCACGCAGTTCTTTTATAAGTACCACATACGTTCTTTATAGGGTTTTCGAGGTTTGCGTCCGAGTAATACAAACTACGTGACAAACTTGATATACCCTCGCGCATCTTCTGTGGTCTGTCAAAACGAGCTCGTGAGCTTTTGTTACATGGACCGCAATTTTTTTCCGCCAAAGCCTGTCTACTCAGCAGCAGTCCTCCAAGTGACTTGAGCCATGTTTTTTACCACCAAAACAATAACAACAATCYTCTATCTAGTCAACTAAAACTGTTTAAAGTCAATATCTCAAACATAATTGTAATTGACGAGTGCAATAAGTTCTAAATAATAACAGTCATTGCTAATTATTTCACATTTCTGTAAAAGTAATAATTCCACACTTCAAGGTTGGCTAATCTGGAGTAAAACGCTAATAAATAAACGAATGTAATTATAATGCCAAAACCATGCATTTCTGAATCAAAACAAAAAAAAAAAAATATTAATTCAATGAAGCAAATCGTCGGCATCTAGAAAAGAGAACAAGGTTAATTTGAAATTAAAAAATCGCATAAGTTAAGAATTCTCTGAGATTTCTTTGTGCGTCTTCGCATTGTACTTACATATCGAAATTGAAATTGAATATAATTTATTTTAAGCGAGTACCAAAAACACGAAAATTCTGCTGTAAAAAAAAAACTTATTATAAAGGGTGATCCATTTCGAGGTTTCCTACTTTTTTTTTTTTTAAGAAAAACATAGTAACTTCAAATTTGATGGGGAATATATATTACCACTTGAAAGTATATTCTTTAGCATTTATTTTTTGAAGATTATCTCTTTCAAATGTTGGCCGCGGTCCATCCGTTGGGTCCAATTTGCGATGGCTCGTTCGACCATTACGGCTATTATTTGGTACAAGGCCTTAATCGAAGCGGGATTGTGCGCATGGTCTTTAGACTTTACATATCAACACAGAAAAAGTCTAACGGTATGATATCATACGATCTTGTTAGCCAATTGACCGACCCAAAACGTGAAATAATCTGCTCACYGAAGTGTTCTCTCAATATATCCATTGATTGATGCGATGTGAATGGGAAGTGACGCCGTCTTGTTGAAACTAAATGACGCCGAGATCWCGAGCTTCAATTTCAGGCATCAAATAGTCGGTTATTCAGGCGGTTATAACGGTCGCCGTAGACGTTTAAGTTCTCATCGGCATCATTTTTGAAGGAAMATGGATCGATGCTTCTACCGGCTCACAAGCCGCACCAAACCTTGGATTTTTGTGAATGAAAAGGCAGAACTTGAATCTCTTTACGTTGCTCTTCGTCCTAAATATGGCAATTTTGCTTGTTTGTATACCCATTGAGCCAGAAATAGGCCTCGACGCTGAACAAAATTTTGCTTGAAAACGTCAGATTTTCTTGGAACTTTTCAAGAGCCCATAGAGCAAAGCGATGTCGTTTAAGAAAATCTWTGCGGCTTCAGTTCTTGCACAAGTTCATGCAGTCCAGCTGTGGAACTTTAATTTGTAYTTGATTAGTTTTGGTCTTCCAAATTTTTACTTAGATTTACTAAAAACCGTTACTATTTTTACTTATATCCATTTTTTTTTAAACAAAAACTAATAATCTTCGTTTTTTCCTTTACTTTCAGCTGTACGTTATGGTCGCGTACCGAAACGTTCACGTGAGCTGAATGGCACACCTTCGTCCACGGATGATCCGAACGTCATTGTGCGTGTGAATACACCGAATACACCACAAACGCCACAAATGTGTTCAGTCGCCTCGTCACCCTCCGAATTGGGCTGTACGGGCCAAAGTAGCGTCGCCAACACAGCCAACACACCGGGACCGGGCGGTGTTGGTGGCATGGGTGTGGGCGTCAATATGAGCGTCAGCGTAGGTGCCGGCGGYGCTGGCGGCATGATGGGACAATGCGGCAATGTTAGCGTCGGTGTCGGCGGTATGAGTGTGGTCGGTAACGGTGGCAGTGTTGGTGGTGGTGGTGGCGGCGTCGTCGGTAATGTTGGCATTACCAGCGTCGACAATAACGGTTGCGGTGTTGTCGATATGCAAGGCCCTACCGCCGAACTGACCGTTTACGATGTGATTATGTGCGTCTCACAGGCGCATCGCATGCACTGCTCATACACGGAAGAGCAGACACGCGAACTGATGCGGCGACCGGTGGCGGTGCCGCAGAATGGAGTAAGTACATGCTATGTAGGTAGACGTTCTTCGTTGTGTCATATTCACATACCGTTATGCAAATCCCATGTCCGCTAAATTGATTTGGTTTCGTTGAAGCCGCCACAAAATTTTCACTTCCAGTGACGCATACAAATTACTCATCATCATCCGTCACTATCATGTAGTACAACCATTGACCCATAAACGCTGCCTAACAGTCATTAAATCAGCATAACTATAAAGCAATGTTGTTGATGTGCGCTTTCCTCATTCCCCGCCCGTTGACCTATTTTTCCTCAATTATGCACAAGCTCTTTCCACACTCGCGCCGGTCCACTAATTAATTTTGCTTGTATTTGCTTTCCGTTTCCAGATTGCCACTTCAGTATCGGAGACAATGGAATTTCAGAAAATTTGGCTGTGGCAACAGTATGCGGGGCGCGTCACGCCCGGCGTGCAACGTATCGTTGAATTCGCGAAGCGTGTACCAGGYTTTTGTGATTTTACACAAGACGATCAGCTGATACTCATCAAATTGGGCTTCTTCGAGGTGTGGCTCAGCCATGTGGCACGTATGATCAATGATGCAACGTTGACATTCGACGATGGCACTTATCTGACACGACAACAACTGGAAATTCTTTATGATGTAAGTCGATTCGCCTTTTCCAAATAGTTTGTCGAATACTCTTTTTATAGGGCGCGGCATAACAATTGTAAATAATAATAATGAACTCAATAAGTTTGGTTAGAAGCTCAGCTAAAAATTCGTTGCTTCTCTGCTTGAGACACTGCCAAGGAGATCACCCTGAAATATGTGCACAGTACGACTGTTAAACATTTTCCAACGCCATTGGATCCAAATCTAATGAATTATACAGTCTAGGACTGCCATTTCTCCGAAACTGTTCTTAGCTAAGWACTGYCGTTAAACATGTTCCGATRTCATTAGCTCCGACTCCAATTCCTTATTAAGTCTAGGACTATCACTTTCCCGATACTGATCTTAGCTATGATCTTCAGTAACGCGGATCTAGGACTTATTCCATTGGAACCAAATCTATTTTTTTATCCAATCTTTGGCTAAATTTATCGATAGAGGCGATTAAATGTTTTCGGACGCCATTGAGCCTGAGTTTAMTTCTTTATCCAGTCAAGARCTGTTACTTTTGCGGTATTRATCTTAGCTAAGTACTCATTAAACTGATTAAAAACGTTCCGATGCCCTTGGTTAAGGTTTYAATCATCCAAAATTGCCTCGCGCTTAAGAAAYATAGATAACTCAACAAATTTTTGTGCCGGAAAAGTTTTTTTCTGACCAAAGATATTAATGTCAAAGAGCCACAACATATCTACTGTYATAACTATATCTATAGTGCTGTCCTTTCGATCGGGACTTCGCAGGAGCTTTCGAAACTGGAAACCCTCTCGATGAAAATGTCTTCTTCTTATCGCGCAAAGATTTATATTCTCCAAAATAACTACCCCTAAATAGGATTCTCTGAAATATGGATGAATTTTGTACATTGAGTSTCAATGTTGACACTATTTTCGAAGCAGCAGCTTTCTAAAGCGTCGGTCAGGGAGCTCACATTAATTACGATTCGAAGTCCTGAATAATTTGGAGTTCTAGAAGCCTTTGAACTTGAAAATTCAAAATCGTTGATATAAAATATATTGTAGTCACTAATACCGAGGGGAATAACAGCTCATTCAAATGAAATATCTTACGATTTCCCTACTTTATTTAAATGACAAAAACAAAATCGTAATTAATGCAAAAATATATATTGCTCACTTCCAGAACGACTTCGTCATCTCGCTAGTGAATTTCGCCAACACCCTCAACAGTTACGGTTTAAGCGATACCGAAATCGGTCTCTTCTCCGCCATGGTATTGCTCGCCTCCGATCGTTCCGGCCTCGCTGAACCGAAAATGATTTCACGATCACGCGAACGCGTCGCCGAAGCACTGCGCGTACAACTCGTCCGCTCACGTGCCGGCTCCACACAAGCGCTACAACTGATGCCAGCACTCGAGGCTAAAATACCCGAATTACGTTCGTTGGGCGCCAAGCATTTCTCACATTTAGACTGGTTACGAATGAATTGGACCAAACTGCGATTGCCACCACTCTTCGCCGAGATTTTCGATATACCCAAGACAGAGGATGATCTGTGAAGGACAAACGAATAGACTGTGACGCAAGATAATCCAAAAGTGAAAAGAGAAAACATACACGAAGCATAATAAGGTTAAATGTAATGAAACTGAAATTGCCGCAAAAGACGAAAATACATAAAGAGCGAAGTGGAGGAAGGAAAGCGAAAGAGAAAAGAAAGGGACAGCAAAGTATAAGCTTTTGTGTGTAGAGGCACTGTGGGCCTATGGGGGCGCAATGAAACAAACACACAGTTTGCAAAAAGAGATTTATGTATGTGAAAATGAGAAGAGAAACAACAACAACAAATAACAATATGATTACTATACGTTTTCTAAACCTAGCGTGAATAGTTCTTAAGCAACAGAAAACATATTTACATATTTAATTTATACCATATATGATGGAACAAAGTGAAAATTATTATATGGAAAAAGTAATAATAATACAAATTGTTTATATAATTTTAAAAAATAATCGTAGAACGATTAGCTTATAACTTTTTCTGCTACTTACTGAAAAAAAAATATAAAAATAAAAAATTAACAAAAAAAAAGTTTTGTTGTTTTATAAAAAAATATTTTAGCAGAAACTCTTTCATAATTTGTGTTTTATGAAAAATAGATACCAGTTTTAGCTATACCTACATACATTTATATACATAAATAATTTTAGTAAAGTGAAAAAACATTATTTACAAGCTTACTTACCATACATACAAACAAACATCACGTGATCATGCCACAGACAAATGTAACATTGCAATATCAGCAAAAAAGCAAAAAAACTAAAAAATAACCTTAAATATTTAAAATTTAAATGAAAAACTCTAAGCATTTAAGGTCAAGAAAGCATTAAAAATAATAATGAATATTAGAAACTTAGCTACATATGTAGTAAAACGCATAAATTCAACACTGACAAAGCATAACTAAATGGTGGAAATTTAGCCGTGAACAAATAAAATAAGTATTCATACATATACGCAAAAACTCATTGAAAAGAAAACACTAAATTCGAAAATCTAAAAAGCATAAGAAGAGCGCTAAATAAATTTAAAAAAAAAAAACAGAAAAACGTATTTATTTAACAAAAAAATTAAACACGCCGAAAGAAATAAATTTATCGAATATTATGCAATATTTTTGTTTTAAACTTACATATGTAGCTACATAAACATGTATATCAAGCCGACAGGTTATATGAATTSAAAAATTGTACACTAGCCAAGAATAATCTTAAAATTTGTTATTTGCTCTTGAACTTTTGTAAAAAATAAAGAAAAATATTTTAATTTTTATGTAACATGAAGATATATATWTWTTTTTTTTAATGATACACAGTTAGTTTTACTTAAAATCRTCTCATACGGCCGTAAATTAAAAAACAAAACAACAACTATAAATCTCAATTGTTATAACTGTTACACTTAAAGCATACATGCGTACATATGTAAATGCATAAATAAATTACGTACATGCATCTATGATATATAGCATTAGCGAATATATTAGCAAACTTAGCGCCCATCTCAACTCTAACGAAAAACAATAAAAATATTGACAAGCAAAAAACAAAACACTACGCGAACAAAAATAAATACCGAAACAAATGTAAATAAGTGCACGAATAATTAACGTAGTAGAAATAAATTACATAATGCCACAACACGAATTCCTGCGCATAAAACTCCGCTCATAATAATAAACTCCAAATGCTTAGAAGATTATATGGCACATACTCGTATGAAAACATTAGTGGTAGCAATAACAAGTACACATATTTTATATCCTTCCAGTCACTTGCGTTTCGCGAGAGCGTTTTCAATTTCAAAATATCATTTTCATTAACGTTAACGTTAAAGCTACAAAATTTTAATTAGCAGTAAATAAAAGTTCACTATGACCACTCAAAGTCATGTATATGTAGTTATACGAGTACATATAATTCAATAGAATTTCTTGACAAATCATACACTAAGTATCATCGTCGTCTGCCTTCATTACTCACCAACTCGTAAAAAAATATTTATTTCATTGCGTCTCATTAAAAATGTTGTAAAATTTGTACACTTAAATGTATTTACATTGAACAATTTATACTGAACTTAAGGTTTCACCTCAACTGAAACATAATTTTCACTTTTTTTGTTGCATACAACACTTACATGCATCTGAATATTTGAGKTGAGGTTCTCCTTTCAACATCTTCCAATTCATGAATGCGTTGACTTTCATAACTGACCTAGCCTTAATAATAATGTATATAATGTTTAAAATAAATATATTAATCTATAAATGTGTGTGTAAATGAGCACCTAAACATATTTCACTCATTAAATATACATACAGACGTGCATACATGTATACATAATTCATATAAATATATATGATCATTTTATAAATCAGCAATATGCATAAATATGTTCATCTGCAGTAAATATATACATATATCATATATCATTTTCGTCCTTCTCATTTAAATGTTTTTAAACTATAAGTGCTCCGTAGTTTTTGTTTGTTTATTTTTTTTATTTTTTGTTTTGTTTTAAATAAATATTTAAGCATAATTTTAATGTATTCTACATTAAGGCCTGAGTATATGTATATGTAAGTGGCAATCACAGCAACAACACTGCGCATTAATTATTATTTTGTTTGTATTAAATATTTTTTTATATATTTTATGAAAAGATAAATGAGAAACACAACAAACTACATTAATTCAATGTTTTACTTTTGCAATTTTAAATAGTTAAAAGTGAATACAAGCAAACGMCTACAAAACATTATTAGTTATGTAGATATACATTTTTTTCTAAATAAAACTTAAACTTTTATTACACAAAAACCATCACTTTGTTCTGTTTTATTTTCAATATTAAAATTGTAAATAATTTGTTGCAAGATCATTTCATTTGAATTGGTATTTTTATATCACTCAGCAGGTGTAATTATTTAAAGCTTRTTTTAAAGATTGGCTGCGCGAAAATCAGATCAACTTAAACGCAAGAAAATACATACATATATTCATTATATAGATTATTTTTTTTTTATTTTCATTAATATATTATGGATGCCTGCAAAGGATCAGTTCTCTACATGACAACTGCGGCAATGTGACTTTTAAATATTCAGCACTTTCCAAAGTATACTTTCGCAACAGATGATTCATCAATTAACAGATCATGTTTAATAGCTTTTTGTTTTTTACAATATGCAATGCAATGTAAATTTACAAATTTTCTATAAATAATAAAAATGAGAGAATTTGCAAAAAATAAATTCAACTTAACTGTCACAAAAAGTAATTCAAACAGCTGTGTATAAACATGCGTTGTCAGTTTCGMGTTGCCAAAATATTGCAAAAATTGTGCATCCGTTTACAAAGATATTTTGTCTCGGCAAAAAAAATTGTAAACGTTTTCCCTAAGATTTTACAAATAAGACTATTTCTTGTTGCGCTATCAATAAAATAATGCATTTTCGCAAATAAAAGATAATTTAAATTAATTCTCGTTTTAACGCATTKCCCAGCAACAACATAACATTGTAAGCAATTAGTTGGCAAATCCAAATGCAACTGTAAAGGAAGCCGTTAGTTTTCTTAATGTATTTGACAAGTGAAAAAATTTGCAAATTATTCAGGTGTTAAAGTTGGAAATCATTTAATGTTACATTTAACAAAATTCATTAATGCAAATTGTTATAAGATGTGTTTAATGGCTGTTGTTACAAAAACAACTCGTTTGGTGCAGAATATTGTTCTTCTAGTGCTCTACTTTATGTGTATTAAAGTGTGTGAGGCACGCTTCCCAAAATTTTGCAGCACAGCGCGGAATAACCTAAAAAATGTTGAAAGTTGTGTCACTTCAGTCATAATATAGTAAAAAGTATATTAAAATATTGCAAATTGTTAGAAGAAGTAAGTTGAGTGCAGTTCGCTATAATCTTATATTTCACCTGATAAAGCCCCATTAGCGGAAGAAGTCTTGAGCGGATCCGCTGCACAATRTATTACTAGATTTCCGGTTGTGTGCCGTGGTGTTTATTGAAATGTTTTTCAGATACATACATACATCTAGATAGAGACATAAAATCGGTTAAAATTGAAGATAAAGTAAGTAAATTTGTGCTTATTTATATATTACTTTTATATTTATTCGCCATAAATAATATTGAAACGCATATATTTATTATCTTCGGAACGATGATCTAGCAGTTTTTAGGTATTTAACTTAATTTATACATGCCACTCTAAACAACAAATTATGAAACCGAAATTAGTACACTTCCATTCCTTATCATCCCTTTAATACTCTTGATTTTCATAGTTAGTTGAGACACACAAATTAAAAAGATTTCCCTCTTCTAGCATCTCTAAGACCTTGTAAACTAAGCAAATCCACATATTAGTTTTATARACTCATTATAGAATTTCCCCATCAGTTGCAATTCCGTAAGATAATCAAATGTAAACTGTGTAAAAATCCATTATAAGTAACCTAATCACTTGGTAGTAAATAACTTTCTGCCTTTCATTTTGCCTTTATTCAGAGTAAATCACAAAGTACAATTTGCTATATGTGTATGTGTTTAAATCGTAAATTTTTAGATAAAACTTTTGCATTAGTAATATGAAAAAATTAAGTGACAGACTAAAGAGTTTTATATARGAATTTATTTCTAAATATTCGAAAATATCGCAATTTAAAACTACTTTAATATAAAATTAACGTTTAGGTCAGACACATTAAATATTGAAACGGGGAGTGTACCTAGTTATATATGTATATTTGTAAGAGCCATATAGCTTTTAAGTATTGTTTAGTGTCACAAATATAGCATGGCTTGCATTTTCTGAKTAGGCTGGAGCATTAAAAAATCTATTGTTTTCCATTTTATTTTTAGTTCTGTGATTTAAACTTATAACACAAAATAAATCAGTGCACTAAAAATGGATTTTAAAAATATTTATGTGAACCGAATCACCTCTTTTTTGTGATTTTAAATGGAAATGGAAATGATTAAATCCGTTATACTTGTTAAAAGCATTTTTGTGTTTGATTGCCTCAATAATTTTCCATCCTTTGATTCAGACGCMATTTATAACTCTAACAAGATAATTTTCCAAACTTAAAAAACAAAAGTTACTTAAGATAAATTTACATTTATACAGTGATGACAATGAATGATAATGAACGGTATACTATGTAGTTGCGCAACTGTAGTTATACTAAAAACAACAACATATTAAAGTGTCAAATTTTTCAATTTTTTATGAAAATTCCATTAAAATGTGTGAAAACGGCACATAAAAGTAGATTTTAAGATAAAATCTAGTTATAGAAGATGTGTTCTAGATCTACTTA